TACCGGTATAGGTATATCCGGTTCCGTCTTTCTTCTTCTCTCCTTCTTTCTTTTGTTCCGAATATGGTTTCTTCCCAGTATCGGAACCTTTCTTCTCCTTTTCTCTCTCTCTCCAAATATAGTCTATTCTAATGAGTTCCTTTTTCCACTCTTGGTAATCTCTGGGAATATGCCCGCCGTAGATCACCCTGTCTACTAGCGGCTTGTTCATGTTCCTCCTGAGTAGAGATATCAGGAACTCTTCATTTATTCTATTTGTATATTCTGCCCATCTTTTCTTTTCCTCAAACCTTTCAAAGAAGGCTTGGGCGGTTTCATTGCCCTGTCTCAGGGTCAATATTTCGTTCTTAGCAGTTTCTCTTTCAAAGCTGTCCTTGAACCTTTCTTCCATTTTGTCCGCGAAGTATGGCCAACTTCCATATGTGTTCGTAATATCGAGCCCCAGCTGTTGGGCGTCGACTCGGTTCTCTAGCCAATCGGTTCGGAAGGCCGCGGCTTCTCCTTCTTTCATAAAAGATAGCACAAAGCTTATCTTTTTTCGGTCATCTTTGAAATATACGGCATCGTCTTCGAAATGTAGTAATAAGGACTCTCTAAAGGCCCTATACTTTTTCTTATCTCCGGAGAAGTTCTCGGGTTTCTCCAATGCCGTTCTACTTCTTTCCACCTTTTCTGGAGGTGGTGGTATCTGCTTCTTTAATTTTCTTTCCAAGACGCTCACTTCTTCAAGTGCCTCGTCTAGTTGTGATTGGTAATGCATTTGTGTTTGTCTTATTGCTTTTTCTACTTCTTGTTTTACGTATGCTTCCAATCGCGCTTCTTTCGGGGGGGGAGTGTCTATTCTGGGTAATGCGTCCATCATTTCCCTGGTAAATGCGCTGTCCGTGCTGTTGGATGGCTCAGGCAGATCGCGATATTCTAGGTTGGACATTGAATGTGAGTCGGGGAGGAGGGGGAGTTTCGGATTTGATCAAAGGGGATGGGTTTCTGATGGGTTCTATTTCTGGTAGGGGGAATTGCCCTCTGAATACGTAATCTTGAGAGTAAATGTGTTGCTCTCCGATCCAAATGTAAAAATCTCTACTAAGCATAGAAAGGAGTTCACCAGTGATAAGCAGGATCGATACACCGCTTTCTAAGATCCTAGTAGTCTATCTGTTCTCTTTGAGTCAAAGTGGTCCTCTTCAGCCCACTACTGACTATGTAGGTATGGTAACTATTTTTGTATTTTACGAATTTTATGTAAAAAGTATAGTGATAAATTGGGGTCCGAACAGTTGTCCCAATGTGACCAGCTTATTAAGCTTTCAGTCCTTCTCCCGACTGGCGGACGCAAATGCGCGGCCTGGTCAGAGGAAATCGAAAATGAAACTATGTAAAACCGAGAAAATCCCAATGGTTCCACACCAAAGAGATTATAGTGATATAAAATGTATTTACAGGGGGATGGTTACAAATGAGTCTTGGGATGAGGAGGGAGAGATGTTGGCAGGGAAAAATGATAAGATGGTGTCGGGGCGAGTGGGTAGGTGATGAAGTGGGAGGGTGGTGACAGTTTGGTTTGAACGTCTGAGTAGGTTTAGGATGAGTAAGATGATGATGATGGTGACGATGATGGTGGTTAGGATTGTTGCTGTTATATTCATAAACGGTACTTGTGGCAGTTGTTGATTGTGTAAAACCCTTATCCCCTGTACCGAGTTAACGGAGGGATGAAGGCTCAAATCAAACAAGTAGCGTTACAAGATAGCGATTGAGAATTAATCAACAACTGAGGAAAGTATGTACATGATGGCCTACTATATATATGTTTCTGAAAGTCAGCCATGAGGCGCTGACTGAGCTAACATGCAGCAGCCATGAGGCGCTGACTGATGTTCTTTGTAATGGTTCTAGACTCTTGTCACGTGATGGTCACGTGATCTGATATAACTACGTATTATGTTATCCGCGCTAAAGCAGCAGCTTAACATATCTTATCTGTCATGTGATCAGATATCAAAGAAAGTGAAAAAAGGAAACTAGCGCTCAGACTAGCGCTTCTGGTTCAAGTCGTGACAAAACTCCTACCACAACCTTTTGACAACCTGAAATAGTGACCTTTAATCCTGACTCGCGAGTCTTTGAGGTTCTTTGTCCGGAGCATGGAATAAAGTCTTTTTGAGCCATGAGTCATCAGTAAAGGACTGCAAAAAAGGCTGTCCCAAAATAATACACTGGTAGAATTGGTAAATTGGTTAAAACTGAGCAGGAGAATGGCGTGTCCAGATACCAATATCTGTGTGTGAGAACTACTTTTAAACTCAGCGGCTGGACTGATTGATCAATACCATCATATTGAATTGCCACTTTTTGCTTGTAAAACTTGAAGGTCACAACAACATCATATAAATGTCTATTTGACTGGAAATGATAACTCTATTCTCTATTACCAAGTAGGTTACATGAAGCTCAAGGATTCTTGACTAATGGAATACAAACAGAGCCTTCATAATCCTGGTTGTATGCCAGCGTATCCCACATTTTTATATCGGATCCCCAGAAAATGCTGTAGTACTAGTTAGCAGGGACCTTTTTTTTGGTTTTTGGGAACTCTGCAGTAGACGGATATAGCAAACAGTAAGTTTTTTATATCCACAAAACGAGTTATTTCATATATTTTTCACTTTTCTAGGTCTTGTAATATGATCAATGTAACTACAAAACCCTCAAGAAATACATTAGATATATCATTCAGCTTCAATCATTAACACCTACCGCACATTCTATTGAATACAAGCCATTAACATTTACACTCTGTAGATAGCTGTTGTAGAGTATACGTGACAACCCTCAACCTCAACCACAATACCAGCAGCTTGATTGATCCAATTACCAGGTATGTAGATCCAGCAACTTCTATTGATTGGTACAATAATAGACTTATCACCATTTCACAGCTAATGTCAATCCAAACTCAAGCTATGGATTTTGTCCTTGGCATTACAGTAGGTCTTGCCGTGTCTGTAGTAAGTAACATCACTTGATTACACGCATACCAGCAGTAGAAGGCGCCATAATCATGCCATAAGGTGTGGACCAATTGTGTATATATCTCAAGTCACGTGCATGATCACGCGTCATTCCTTCTCGAATGTTCCATAAGCGCATGCCTATTTGGTCACGTGCCTTGGTCCGGGGTTGCCAGGCGCTAAAGTATTGGTACTCGGCCTTATTTGCTGGACGTGCTTTAACACTCATTTTTGATCTGCGGTCATCTGATTAGATCTAAATCTTTTCTTATCTACTGGTCCGGTTTACGTAGGCACCGGGGGTAGATAACCGTTCAGGTATCTTGATTTTACTTGTCCTTAATTTGCTGGGGGACAGTATTGTCTTTGCCCCTAAACTAAAATCAAAATCCATATCCAAAACTATGAATACCATATGCCTTATTGCCAAACACCTGCCATCCCTTTTTGGATAGAAGGTTTGCTCTGATCGCAAGTGCAACCAATGTGGGCAATTCCACACTTAGCCCATGGACGCAATGGCCGGGGGGACATTCCAATTACCCTACTAAGTTGGGTGAGGATAGCGAGTTTGCATTATGTAAACTAGTCGACTCTCTCAAATCATTTAGCAGCCTAGCGCCACTATCCTTTTGGGAGTGCGCAGGCATTTATGAAGTTCTTCCGATAACATTGGGCCCCCCTAGAGGGTCGTTAAAGGTTTGGTCCATAATAGGCCGAGTTCTTATGTCAGCCTTTGCGCAATTTGGTCGGTTAGATAAGGTTAGAGTTGTTTAGTTCTCTAATCAGACTTTATCAGGTCATTATTCCAAGAATAGACTTAGCGTGATAATGTATGGTTAGGTTAGTGTGAGATCACATAACTCCATCCAAATATATAACATTTCAAATGCAGCAAATCATCTGCAGGTTTTACTTCATTAGTATGTCGTTAAAACTTTGAACATCAAAATTATTGTGTCAGTACCGGGGGGCACAGAGATAATACTGGACGTGGGATATATTCTTTTTAGTTCAATCCCAGCCAATCTCCATACTTTCAAAAGGTTGCACTATTTGGTCTTTAACCGCATAGCTGTCCCAGTCTACCGGTGCTCTAAGCTCTGGCTTTTTGCAATCAAGCAAGGCACATTTCCATTTGTTGACTCACTTAAAAAGATTATCAGTAACCATTCTTGACACGAGCCAATGAGAATCATTTGCAAATTTGAGTTTCCGCACATCCCCAATGACCCGACAGTCAGAGGATGAGAGTGCATGGGGCTCAGACACCGCTTGGGGGGGTCTGCCCACAGGCAGAAGCAGGGAGTCCATTGGATTGACATATAGTCTAATACTGCCATAGGCACGGTGCAAATTACATTGGTGGTATCTTGTTCAGGAATAAAACATAGCCAAGATACTGCTGCACTATTGGGCTGTTAGTTGATTTAGCCATACCCACTTCCTTTTGCTCCTTCACACTTGACAACACAATCATATCCTTGCTCTTGGACAACCACCAGGGAGCACCCCCAAAGTAGACGCAAGTACAAGATTGTCCCTCCAAATTTGTGGTGTTGAGCAGCTTTGCACTTGGCCTCTCCTCATTGCCCACCACATCCTACTCCACTCCCTTTTGCTGCCAGGCACAGCATCGGGAAATCTTTCTTGTTGTGTCCATGGTTCACTCAGTGACATCCAGTGCTTACTATTCATTCAATCCCACACGCCGCACACCTTCACTTCAAGTCCAATGGTATCAATAATGACCCGTTGACAACAAGACTAAGATATTGGTAATTTGGATTCACAGTAGGTTTCAATTGAGGCAAATGAGCAGTAAATGTATTTTAAACACTAGATTTACTACTATATCAGGGTCAGAGAAGCAGAAAACAACCATGTATCATATAAATAAATTGATATAGATGTAGGAGCAACTAAAATGAGTACCTCCTCCTGCGTGGCCTTAGGTTGCGATGAACAAAAGACTGGTAACCACCTAAATCAGCATAACCCGCATTGGACACGGATGGTGAAATGGTTGGCATTGTGGTATTCGCCTCTTAGAGATCTATGAAAGCAATGTAAACCAACAGTATACAACTCACAGGGGGGAAAAATAATTCAACACACCATTATTGACATCAAATATCACATTTGGCGCACTGACGGGTTGACCAATGTCGGACTGAATGGCAGTGATTGTGGTCACAAGGGGTGCAACACTAACAGAACTAACAGCATTAGCTTGAGCTGTTAAAGAGGTAACAGAATAGAAAGCGGCAGCTGGAACTGGAACTGGGAGCACAGTGGTTGATGATAGTAGTGCAGGATTGTCAACTGTTGTACCCTGATTGGCTACGAGAGCAGGGGTACTTGGTGAATGAGAAAAATTAGAGTTGCTAAAAAATAATAATAATTGTAAGTAGTTGCTTAATAAATGTCCCACACAGCTGAAACTCACCAAGTCTGCGCAAGGGAAATACCATGTAACTCTGTTCTATATTGATTGAATGCCTGATTTACCATAGCCTGCTGTTGTAAGTGGTTCAAAGTGTCAATAAAAACCGGGCCCTTGTATTCCCTCCATGTAAGCCTTGGCAAAGTTGCGCGGGTACCCGACCACAGCTGATGGAACGAATGAGATATCTGTGAAACCTATGTGAGTGACAGTGTATAAGAATCATGACAAACTAACCAATGTAACAGCATGTGCATAGGCTGCCAAAGGGATCATACCCAGCTCATGCCAGTCAGTTCAGGTGAGCACTCGCTCAAAAGGTAAGAGAAGAATACAGTGCAAGACCTCCTCAAAAGCAGGGTTGTTGTACAGGCCTAAAACATTACCCTAAATGAGATTAGTAATAGCACCCCTGATGTGGAACTTGAATCTTACAAATTTGTCAAATGTATGTGCATGTGCAAATGAAATATCACCAGGTCGAGAATGAAGCCGATTGAGTATTGCTTTTGTCTCTTCTACTGACTGAGTGTGACTATCTATGTATTGCGCATTGTAGGAGGGTCAACTTGGTTGATCTTCTGATGGCTCTTTTTGTTGCCTACCTTTACCTTTTTTGTGAAGATTTCCTCTTGTTTGCCTTTCCCTTGTTTTTGGGACGTGGTCCATCTACAATTGTTGCAGTGTGTCTTTTATCGTTGGTATGAATGTTTTGGATCCTAGTCCTGGTTAGTTCAAGGAAGTGCTGATCCATGCAAACTTCTTGGTGAGAAACATAGAAAGCTACATAGGTATATTTAAAAAAAAGTAATTATCATAAACCTAATGAGATCAAAATATGGAGCTTACTGAAACCGCAACTGTCTGGATGCTCACAGATGAATTTTTTGTTCAGCATCCACAGCTTCATCATCGACTGTGTCTGCATCCAAATTGGAAAACATATGTAGGATCTTGTTACCACACAAATGAGTTAACATAAACCTTGATAATTTCATAGTTGTCTACTTCATTGTGAGGAATATTCTTGTAACATTCTAACATGCAAAGACAGGGATCGGTCAGAGGGTCATTTGCTGTGGGATTAACAAGCCACAAGTTGTGGGGCGGCTGAAAAACCTGGGGATCCTGGTTAACTACACTAGGAGGAACAGATCTGATGGGAGTATTGAGGGAAGTAGGGGATAGCAAATGATCAATAGCGGTAGTTGTACGGAGTACTGGATTAGTGCTTTAGTTGGCTTTATTTGCTATAAAACTACATTATTTATCATTCAGACCAATATAGTATGCTATAGCACAGTATTATTTGCTATTTAGAGCAATTCATTATGCCATAGTTTGCTATAATACAATAATATTTAGTACTTAGAGCGATATAGTGAGCTATAGTATACTATAGAGCAACTGACTGTCTACTAATTGTACTAATTGATATAAACTGATATGACAAATATATTTGCTATAATAACAGAAAGTACAAAGTAGTGTACACTTTTTAGCACTTATAGCCAAACCATGTTTTCCTAACGCAGTATGGTTATTGGCCAGAACAGAATCAGGATGAATCCTGAGAAAGTTCAAGCTATTTTAGAATGGCCAGAACCTACTTGTGTCAAAGGAGTGAGGGCCTTTCTTGGCTTAGGCAACTTCTACCAAATATTTCTCAAAAACATTGCAAAAGTCAAGAGACGGTTGAATGATCTCACAAAAAAGGATGGCATTGGGGCCCCATAGAATAAGATATCAGAACACACAATGGGATCCGCACCCGTGTACAGTGATTCTGGACCTTCTGGGCATGCAACCAATCAGTATGCTTTCCAAGTACACCTTGGTAGCTTAGTTGGTAAAGCACCAGACCATGAAAGCTGGAGTCCCAGGTTCAAGCCCTGGCCACTGCATGTTTTCTCATACTATAAACAAATACCATAATTTGTCACAAGAAGCTTTTGACAAGCTTAAGGAAGCATTTAAAACAGCGCCCATATTAACATTTCCAGAATTAGACAAAGAGTTCCGGCTAGAACCCAGCTCTTCTGATTTTGCTACTGAAGCTGTTCTGTCAATTATATGCCCTGACAAACTTTGGAGGCCTTGTACCTATTTATTGCATAGTTTGTTGCCTACAGAGCGCAACTATCAAATTCATAACAAAGAGATGCTAGACATCAATTTGAAATTTGGACTAATCATAAGAATATGGAGTATTTTATGACAGTCCGGGACTTGAATCAAAGATAGGCCCGCTATGTGGTATACTTGTCTAGAATTAATTATAAATTAATCCATAAGCCAGGAACTTCTATCAGAAAAGTGGATGTTTTATCCAAGAGAGAAGATCACGCCAACAGCATCAAAGATGATAACAAAGGTGTTACCCTCATAGATCAATCCAGTGTTTCCAATGTTAGGATTAGGCAGGGTCACAATTTATTAAGAACAAAGCTTGAAGGAAGTGTCTAGCCACTTGCTGAGAGCAATCAGGGACTGGAACTAGAGTCCAATGTGAGTAACTAGAGAATAGAAAGCATTAGACTCTGCAGTACTGTCCGAAGTTTTGTAAACAAAGGTAAACAAAGCAGCCACAAAGGCAAAATAATAGAGAACACAATCAATAGTGAATGATAGAAGAATAGATAGAGAAAGGAATGAGAATATATAGGTAGCACAAAGGTGCAGAATCACCAAAACTAACACAATCTTCTAGAAGTCTTCAGGAAAGACATCTCATCAGAAGAGAAGGCACACCTTGATGGCAATAAACATTATTTATGGGCAGATGAGATCTTTTATTATAAAGACAAAATCTATGTGCCTTAGTCTGCAAGGATCAAGGCAATAGACAGACATCATGACATACCAGTGGCTGGGCACTCTGGGTGGTAATGAACTATGGAGTTGATCTCCAGAAATTACATGTGACCTTGCATGGTCAAAGACATACAAGAATATGGAAAGTCTTGTATTTGCTGTGCCATAGCAAATAACTCTCATCAACTGTTGGCAGGTAAACTTATGCCAAATCCAACACTACCTGGTCCCTGGCAACTTGTCCTCCTTGCGCCTCCACCACATCTGATATTACTGCTCTCCATCCACTTCCATCGCCAATCTTTGAAAGCATGCCTAACGCGCTTGTCAGTAAACTTATGAGCACTAGGGCATCAGTTCAAGCAGAAAGGGCTTCTATTCGCAAACTGGAAAAGTCTCTTGAGCACATTCAGCAGGAGGTGTGTGGGTATTCATTTAATGCCTTGTCTTTGGAGCTGACACTGCAGAACAAGAACAAGGCCCAGGTACAATTATTGAACTCGTTCTTGCATTTCCAGCCTGACAAGCCTCTGAAGCTTGGTTGGAAACTAAACACTCATTGGACACAAGTGGATCTAATTCTAATATGGTGAGAGTCCTTGCTCAGGTAAAATTCAATCTTATAATATTGGCCTTAGAAACGTCCAAAGATCTCATAATCAAATGATGAGGAGGATCATCATTGGGTTACTATTGAGTTGCACTTTTGTGACTGTAAACAATATCATTCCCATGTAAACTTTCATACTATTGTACATTAAAAACTACAGCCGGTTTCATAACCAATGTACAGTTATATAATTATGGTCAAGAAACTGGGCATCTGAGCTTTCATCTCTATTGGCAAGAGGTGTTTTTGAGGTACATGGTAGCAAAATCCCGCGCTGGCCATGTTCCTTTGTAGGTTTTGAGTACCAAAAATCCATGTCTAGCCTGTAAAATGGTTTATCAATGGTGTACGAGAAAGCCGATGGTCAACAGGGCTACCACTGTTAAGAATGTGTCTAGCCTGTAAAATGGTTTATTAGTGGTGTACGAGAAAGCCGATGATCAACAGGGCTACCACTGTTAAGAACGTTATACGCACATCACTGCTCGGTTCACAGTAAGGGAAAGTCGTCTCTAAATGCTCTTTGCATAGTTCATGCAAACCTTCCTAGATCCACAGTTTTCAGTAAGACTAAGGCACTCAATCTAAAGAAGGTCTAAGCTTACCTGAATTTGGATGTACATTGTCCGATCCCATTTTAGCTCGTTGGATAGTGTATATCCACCGGAGCTAGGTTTTGACAGGGGTCCTCGAGGAGCAGGTATCAACAAAGGGTCGGGTCTAGCATATCCACCATCAAAATGTTGTGCGGTAGTTCTAATAGCTATATATTCTAAAACAGATCATGAGAGTAAGGCAAAAAATCGAAATTTTTTTGACTTAACTTACTTGATGGTTGATTAGTTTCATGTGTTTTCTGATTAGTCCCATGGACTTTTTGATTGGTTCCACTGCCGTGTATAACAACATCACCACGGAGTAGTGGCGATCTAAAGCACTTTTTGCCTGATAGTCGTAACAGACCATGGTCATGGAAAGAGTGATGCAACACTTACCTGTTGAATGACTCACTATTGGGGCTTGACTGCACTTAGAGTGGACCCTTTTGTTCAGAAAGAGGATGCTCCTCATGCGACAGTGGCGTAGTTTCTATGTGATTTATTTTGAATAGCTTGCATGTGGTGGCTTTACTGACATTGGGACTGGGGCTTCTCTCGGGACTGTCAAGTCGACAATTAGTCGAGGGAGGAAAATACTGACAGTGGTAGCGTGAAAACATGTATACTATACTATTGATGGCATTGTCTATTGATGTACACGGCAGAACTTTATATGCATACTTTGGTAAGCTATAAGTAGGTGTGAATAAAGACCTTAAGGGCAAAATTGACTGGCACAGTGATTGTGAATAGATTGTTTGGTATATGCCGCCACTGGCAATCTTGAGGTCGGACGTAGTACCAATCAATTTAGAGTGACTCTAGCAATTTCCACATTAGGTACGTGACAACCTCTAGTATTCTTGCTGAGTCAACTCTCACCGCATCTTCAACTCACTAACACTCATATATCAATTTAGATATGGTTCAGCAAACAACAAATACATGTATTTGTTCAACAGTGGATTTAAACCTTATTGGTACCTGGTGGAGCATTTTCCATATTGTTCAGCATTTCTAACTTGGAACAGTTTGTCTTGTGTTCATTTTTTGGTGTCAATTTTTGGATTCAGATTTACTGTCCACAAATCTGCTTCTTTTACACTATATCTATGATAAATCATAATATGAGAGGTGAGCATTCAATTATCTTTGATATTGATGGATCCACATGATCCACACCCTGCTGAGGGTGAATTCAGTGTTGGCTCTATATTGGGGAAAAGACCCTCTGAAGACTCCTGGCTTCAAGGCTTCCACACTTCAAAGTCTATATAGTACTCAGAGGAATCATCACTACAACAGGTTCTGTTTCTACTTGTTACAACAGTACTGTCACTAACTACCCCCCCTTTCCATTCAGGAACCCGCCCAAAAGAAAGCGGATCTTGCAAGGTCTTGCAACATCTGGCAGGACACACAACCTGGCTGTATTAAAAGAAGTCAGAAACAAAGGTAAAGCAAGAACCGATGATCAGGAGGATGATGATAGATCCCATAAGCAAAAGGAGGACAGCCAAGTAAGCATATTTGACTACTTTCCTTCATCCAAGTCCTGCTGAGACTCACTGTCATCAGACTTCATCTTCTTTTATTGATAGTGTTACCTCAGCATGGCGATGTATTGGAGGGAGCAACACACAAATTTTCACCACAACCAAATTACAAAGAGGAAACGAAGGAGAAAAGCAACAGATAAGGACAAACAGTGTAAGTGTTGTCCAAGTGGTAAAACATGCCTATCTTTGAAAATCATTTGGCAGGTTGCATCTTTGCCATCCTGCAATTCAGCGCTGCAAACCTCCCACGAACACGACTGACAACCGGTTAGCATAGACCAAATACCCTGTGGTTAATTGATGATGCACCAATTATTACAGGTAAGTACTGCAGTTTCCACTGTGGTGCATTGTCAGCTCAGTATATATGAATCTCATCCTAGATATTTCCAAATCCTTTGTCTACGTCGGGTATTGGTCCCGTCACATTGGGGGGAGGAAATGAAGATCATAGTCCAGTAGAGGTGAGTGTATATTGTGAGGACTCTTTCAATTGGTACTTACATATATATGATTCATAGACAAGTTCCACATCTTGCAATGCTCACCCACCAACCGTGAACATAGATGGCATAATTACTCCTGTAGCACCAGCACCAATTAACACAACCAGCTTGCCATCTAACATAATAGCAGCGCAGTAAACCACTTAGAACATTAATTCAGGCCTCAGTCAGCGCCTGGTCAGCCTATAGGATGGGCAATTACACTTGATAAACAAACCAAAAGGCCTGCAAGTGTAGCTTTACCATTGGTGATATGTCTGCATTATTAACATTTTTTAGTATTTACAGAGCCTACTTTAGCATACCCCCATTTACTCAACCTCCAAAATGCTGCCTATGGCAACAGCAGCTGTACCATTGCACACAACTATCAATGTCCAGGACATTGAAATGTGCAATACATGGGCTGTACACGTATCTCAAGTTGATCAACGGCCTCCAATTCCACGTCATCACTCCTTGACAACAGTTCGCCAAAGGAGTAATCAGTCTATGCCTTATCTTCCTCATGCAAAATCTCAAGGTCATATTCAGGTGTGTTGGGCTTGCACATTAGTATCAAATGCTATACAACTTACCTTCTGATTAGCAAGGGATAGGGGAAGCTGTATTCAACTGCCTGCAAAGTGCAAGCTTTAGTGTGCAACCTGAAAACCAAAAATTGAATCAAGTCCGTGGTTTTTGTTAATTCGTTTTCCTCATTAACATAATTGCAGGCAGGCATGGGGCACCAAAGTGCACCTCTCTCTTTGTTGGAAGTTAGCCAATTGCAGTACCAAAAACAGCAACCTTCAGTGGTAAACAGCTTTGGTGCAAGTAGAAGTAGGATGACCGACAAGAATGTACCAGATATATGGATATTGCAAACAGAAGATAAGAAGAGGTTTGTAGATACTTTTTGTCAATTGAATCCCACAAAAGGGACACTAGAGTGTTAGTATTGCACATCATATTTCATAGCTATTATGCTGACATTTTTTGAAAACAAACAAACATTACAGTGGCACAGGCATGGGGCTTCTTTTCACAACTAGGTGTTCCTGTAGAAAGCCTCCTGCAAATATGGTTTGTGCAATGAACTGTCCTCTGGCTCACTTGGTCTTATCTCCAGCTGCAGTCAGCTTTTGGACACGTAGAATCATAATACATTGGATGAAGATGATTTTTGCATAGCTATGCATATCATCTCACTTTTACGATCCAGTAGTTTGACATCAATACCCACACAAATACCTCCTACACTGTATATCACCTCTAGAAAGCCACTTTCATAACCTTCAACTATGCCAAGCCTGTATATAACTCACTTGGTGTGCACCAGAGTGGAGAGCTGGTTTCAACAGTTAGATATTGAACACACTGGTTATGTTAGGAAGGATTCTCTTATAAACAATTTATTAAAGGGGAAGACTCCAATAATGGCGGTAAATTGCATAATGTATGATATCATAATCAAGTGGATCTTTACTGCTGACTTATAAATCTGTCTATCCAGCAACTTGGTTGATCCCAATAAATGAAACATTCTAGATTTGCAATCTATCACAATCATCTTACACCTCGTTGAATCCGCTGCAGCTGGTGAAGCGCTTCCAGAGACGTTGCCTCAGAATATTGTTCTCCATGACAATACTTCTGGGAACCATGCAGTATTACAATACACAATTGTCAGACCTTTAAATTTCATTCTCCTCTTTAACTTTCTTGTGTAGTCCTCACACACTGTGCCATGCAGCACTTTCCATTTTATTCAAACTCCACTTTGTCGCGCTGCACTGCTTTTCTTTATTCTTAGTTACAAAGTCTCTCACACAGTGGAGCTGGTCACATGGGCTGCACCCTATGACATCATCAGCCACTGCTCCCATCAACTGTATAGTACACATGTACAAACAACATGTAGTAGTATAAATACCCAATAGATCAAGGAGACTTCTCAGCGAGTCCTCCTGTTGTTTACACACAACTAACTTGGTCCTATCCTAAGGGTGTAACCACCCCCCTCACTATCTTTATAGCTTTATCTAAGTTGTGTGCCAGAGTAACAAACTCTTAATTGTTACATGCAGGGGCTGATAGGTCCAGGATCCAGGATTTGTTAGTTCAGTCCTATCTCCAACCGCCAGTTGATGCGCCAAACAGGGCAACATTACCATCTACTAATGATATATTACAACCAATGACCAGCTTGTACCAGGTAATGTCAAATGCTTTAACATTTTACTGATGTTCATGAATTTTCTGTAGGCTATCCCTGCTCAAGTTGATGCAAGTGTGGATGGATGAGTAAGTAATCTATTGGCTGCATATTGGATTTAGCCATGTGACCTCACATAGCCACCTGACCACAGGGAGTGCATAAAAGAAAAGTGGACCAGCCGGGGATTGAACCCAGGACCTCTGCCTATATATGGCAGTGCCCTAACCAACTGAGCTACCAGCCCTTGTACTAATGTCAACTCATGACATGTGTTGTCTAACAAGGCTAACAGGCTTTGACCTTAACTATTCCAACACTGCAGTGAGTGAAATGCCGAGTTTCTACTTACCTTTGGTTGATACTATCATTCTTAGATATTGAAGGAGCATTCCCGTCATGAGAAGGGAAAGGCTGCTGAAGACAACACTTCGGTAAGTCAGGAATAGAAGAGCCTCAGTTGATATTCTGAATATAATGAATTTTTAGCCACTCTCTACTGCTTGGAGCCAGCGTAACGACATGTGCAATGAATCAGTTAATGAAACAAGTAGAATGTTTAGTGCAGTGTCTTCACAGTTTTCTGCCGTCACTCAAACATTAAAAGCGGGAATTGACAATAATGCTAAGGAACTGAGGCAAATACATCAGGCAATGCAGGCACAGCAAGGATCTGCAAAGAAACAGGGTCGTTCCACTGCCACTATTTTGCATTTTGTTTACTTATGGGTGAGTAGTGCACTAACTAATCTTTTGATATCATAAAATAAAATCTGATTCCCCGCCAGAACAAAATCAAGGCACATCTTTTACAGTTATTAAAAATATCCAGATATTCACACTTATCATAGATTGCTCCTCCACCATCTGACAAAGAGAATGACAACTTTGAATGTCTGGCATCGGGGAGAATCTGGGTGACACCGCAAAGTTTCAGAATTGACCTGTCTCAATCCCGCAATCCGCCCTTCAACCACCATTGTGTCAATATTTTTGCAAAAGATTTCCAACACTGTGTTTGAAACTTGAGGTTTTATCCATTTCCAGCCATCCCTAACAAATACCTCACTATCAAATACATAGAGTTTTTGTTTTACCGACATCTTAAACATGTGAAATCCAAATATTGTTCTTTTGTAACTCATCCTTCGGTCCCCAAGCGACTAGAGATGTTGCAACAATCTTCACATAGTACTAGAAAGGTGCGGGTAAGAACTTTATCATATTACAACATTTATTGTTGTTAATGTCATCCATTTTAGCTATACAAGGCTCGACTCAAGATCATCACTCAACAAACTAATTTGAACAAGCATTATGATCCGGTGAAGTGCCTGGGATCCCAAGGTGTCAGCTCTGATGAGTCTGATCCAGAACACTCTGAGGACAAAGATGGTCTTGAGGATTCTTACAACATTTTTGCAAGGAAATTTGTAAGGATATACCCAACATGGCAAAATGATCAGCTAGCCGGTTTTATGTGGAACCTGGATACTTGGGTACAACACAGATGTGAGCCAAGGATAGGACATCAAACAATCTGAGGACAGCAACCAAGATGCAGAAAACACTCTCATCTAGTCAATGCAAAAGCCATCGCACCCCCAGGTTTTCCTCGCAATTGCTATTAGCATGAATAGCTGCAGTCTTTAGACGAAGAAAAATTGAAGACTCCAAATGAAAGACCATTTGTATGATTTTAGCATACAGCTCTACAAATATGCAGAAGTTCCACAACTAACAGAACCAGCACAGTACCTAAATTTGAGCACGATCTTGGCACAACGTGCTAGATGGACTATGCTAATGCCTGACCGGGGCATGGATGTCCTCGAGCATGGCTTTCATACTCAACCTCCATCAAGCACAATCCACCCCTGTATCAGCCTTGTCATCTAATCAAGCCATTCACTTTGATCTGCCTCCAAGGTTGAGACAACAGCCAGTTTTAGAATCTACTTTAACCAGAAGATATGTGCATAGGCTCACTCCTGGATGGCAAATCAATAACCACTTCTTGTTCTTGTATCCTAGACCACCTGAAGTACAAGATCTTCCTCAAGAAACTGGAACAACGCCAATGGTACAACACACTCAAAGCATAGTACACCCTTCTCTTGTAGCAACTACTACTCCTGGAGCGTCTGTTACAATTAACATACCAGCACCTACTTACACTTCACTTTTTATACTTTTACTTTTCATTTTCCAAGTCACATGACTGATCATGTGATCATTTACTTTACATTACATTTTTGGACTTTTCATAGTCACATGACCAATCATGTGACACATCACCTGACTCATCATGTGACCAGTCACATGCTAGACATCAGACTTTAAAACTTCATTTACAACTGTACAGTACCTCATATATTTTAGTATGTATACTGGAGCAATACATGGGGAGAGACTCAGCAAGTCCTCTTCTAGTGTATACCAACATTAGTATAACAAGTTCCCTGCTTTGATGGGTTGTACATTTCTCTCCCTTTGAGTCAAACCCTGTGCAATGATCTGGAGTTTGTATCTCTCAATGTTTCTGTTTTGATCAGATTTGATCCAGGACACAGGTTTTGATGTGATAGGTTTTACTCCCTTTGGAAGTGGAACAGTGTCATATACTGCATTAGTATTGAGACTTAGGAGTTCCTCCTCCAAGGCAGACTTCCATAATTCTCCATCTGGATGTGATAAGGCTTCCCTTAGTGTCCTTGGAAGGTCTGTGTTAGATGGACCAGTACTTGCTATTCGAGCAAAGAATATCTCCTCTGTGTCAGATGTTCCTGCAGGAACCTCAGGCTGTTCCTCATCTAGAGTCCTATGATAATTTCTGCAGGACAAGTCTGGTAACTCCTTCTGCGTACTCCCAGGACTTCAGCAGGTATGGCTGCTCTTTGAGGAATTTGTGCAGGAAATCCAGGGAGCAGATGCACTTGTGTGTGTGTTGCCCCATTCACTCCTGAAGGTGTTGAATGTCTCTTTGGAGGTATTGTATGCCTTCCAGAAGCTGGTCCAATGGACAGGCTGTTTAGCTGTATTTGGACTTCCTCCTACTAATTGTGACTCTACTTTGGGTTTCCTTTCTGAAGATGGCCAGTATTTGGGTCTTGGTTGTAGAGACTGTTGTGGAGGGTCTCTTAGCTGTCCGGGTACTCCCACTGCTCTTGGAATGTCTCTATGCTGATATGGTTCCATTACTTGTGGAACATCTCCTTGAAGATGTGGTTCTATTTGCAATTCATTTGGATTGCAGATCTGAGGGTCAGGATTGTCCTCCTCTATTGTATTTTGGTCTGGATAGTAATCATTCTTTGGAATGAGTCCCTCCCACTGATCTTTGCTAGGGCCTGTGTTCCAGGGAGCAGTGTGCTCCTTTTGTACCTTTTCAGATTGATTGAATACGACATGCTGACTGGAAAACACA